AAGCCACTCTCTAAAACCAAAAATTATCGATGAGTTGCCAATTTATGTTGGTGGTAGGATTCTCCATACTGGAAATTATCTTCTTCTGTCTCCTCTAATCTTCCTATCACTTCTCAGAGTGACAACTATACAGTCTCAATAAGATGGCAAGTTTTTTAAAACATCCATGGGGGAAAAAAGAAAGTTACATGATAACATTACTATATATTTAAAAGAAATAGCAAGTTGTATATAATAGATCTGCAATTTCATGTACAGTCATCTTTTTTTCTATTCTACTATGTTATGGAAATGCTTGTTTAATTTCTTAAGTTCAGAATAAAGTAAATTTAATTTAAAAAAACCACACATGAACACATAGTGTTATTATTTCATTGGCTAAATACATGAAGAAGAAAAGGAAGATTTTTTTAAAGGATATGTGTATGTATGTATATGTATGTATATAGATACATATTTAAGATTTGCAGAGCACTTTACCAATATTATCTCATTTTATCCATATAATGACTGTGGGAGGTAGGTGCTGTTATTATCTCCATTTTATAGATGAAGAAACTGAGGCAGACAGAGGTTAAATGACTTGCCCAAATTCACACAGCTAATAAGTATCTGAGGCAGGATTGGAACTCAAGTCTTTCTGATTCCAGGTCCACTATGCTACTTGGCTTCTATACACCATTGAGGCAGAGTTAGACTTACTTAAGAAGAAAACTTGAATTGATAATCAAGTGCCAAATGAACCCAGTTACTCAATGTATTCCTAAGTTTTTTTTTCATTTATTTATTCATTCATTATTCAATTAATCAGCAAGCATTTATTAAACACCTACTATATACTATATTCTGGGAATACAAAAAAAAAAAGAAATAATTCCGGCCTTCAAGGAGTTGTCATTCTGTGGGGAAGATGTGTGTGTGTGTGTGTGTGTGTGTGTGTGTGTGTGTTTAATGAATAAACACATATAAATAAACACAATTTCATTCATTCATTGAACCTTATTTAAGCACACACTCTGCTCCTAGCATGAGACTGGGCATTTTAGGGGATTAAAAAAAAAAGCAAGAGACAACATGTTCTATGAGATCAAGTCTCTCATGATCTTCTCCCCTGGAGAGAAGAGACGTGCACGCGTGGAATAGCTTGGGAACAATTGCTCAGGAACAAATAAACAGGTGCCAGGTAATTCAGTACAGATTGCACACGCGGGTGCTGAGGTTTACGGCTAGAGGGTGCCGCCAGAGTAGGATGTGGTGAGCCAGGGTCGAAGAGGGTAAGCCTGGGGTCTAGTCTTGAACGAAGAAGAGGTATGTATTCAAGAAAGGAAGGAAAAGGGTCTACTGAGGAGGACAGGATTGGGGTGGAGAATGGTATGAATTTTCTTTTATTTCTCTATGATCTCAGAAGTGAACTTGTAAGAGGAACAGGGGATTATTTCCTGCTTCTGAGGATTGGCACAGGGAAATTTCCCAACCCTCTTTGAGGTGGTCACCCAGCCCTGAACTTAAGCCCCCAAAGTCTAATTTAGGAGCGTTAGGCATTTTAACAGAGGAATCACATTGCCTGAGAGCAGCTGGATAAAAGCATCACACACCCATTGGGATTCAGATTCAGACAGCAGTGAAAGTCCTGTAATCTCCTGACTCAGGCCCTGGAAACTGGTTCACCAATGACTCAGTGAGCTGTATATTTCCAACATGTCATTCTGGGTTTCATCACTTGGTGCATTTGGTTCAGCCAGCCATATGGCTGTTTCCGAAGAATTATTTTGTAGCTTGATTGTCTGGGAAGTGTGAGAGCTCTTGTGATTCCATGTGCCACTGTCTCCCTTTTGCTAAAGAGAGGGTCTATAGAGCATACCTCACCCCCTCTCACCACTTAGGAAACACTGAAGAGGTTTGAGGATGATTTTTCTGAACTCTCACCAGTTATCTCGGGGAAACTTTTGAAGGGGTTAGTAAAGCATAGCAGTGTAAGAATATAGGACTATTAGATTTAGAAATGGAAGATCTGCTAGTAATCATTCTACTCTAGCTCTTTATTATAGATTGTAAGCTTCCTGAAGGCAGGAACTCTTTCATTTTTGTCTTTGTATCTCCAGCACTTAGAATGGTGCCTAGCACAAACTAGGCACTTAATAAATACTTGTTGAATTGAACTAACATGTATCTTTCACAGATGATGAAACTGAGCTCTTATGATGCAGGTAAATGGAATAGGTCAAATGAGCCCAAGATAATGCCCATGTAATGACCTAGAGATCATCTAATCAAGTGGACCTCAAACTTTTTGGTCTCAGGACCTCTTTACACTCTGAAAATTATTAAAGACTCTTTAATGAGAGCTTTTAACCTAGTGCCTAGCACACAATAAGTGCTTAATAAATGCTTATTGGTGGACTCTTCCCAAAGAGCTTTGATTTAGGTAGGTTATGTCTAGGTGTGAGCTACAGCCAGCTCTAAACTGGCTTAAGAGCTGATTGTAAAATTTTCAGAGTGAGCATTAACACCTAACAAATCCCCAATCATTACACATCCTTTGTTTTACAGATGGAGAAACTGAGGCCAGAAAAATCAAAGCAGTTCAGATGGGATCACAGAAGTAGTAAATGACAGAGCCAGCTTTTGAACTAAGGTTTTCTGATTCTGGAGCCTATTCTTTGGAAGCTTGACTAATTTTCTAGTTCTTTATTTGACTAATTTTCTAGTTCTTTATTCCTTTAAAACCTAAAAAAGAAAAAAAATAATAAACAACAAACATACTTTCCACCTCACCCCTGATCTCCACCCAGGGAGGGATACTATTTACCTGGAAATTCCACTAAAGGAAGGTCAGGGCTAAAGCTCTAGCTCTCATCCAAGAAACAGGGACTTGGTTCAGAGTGAGGGCAGTTTTATTTGTTCTGCGCAGAAATTTCAGCATCAGCTCTCAGGAAATACTTGCTGACTGCCCAGAGTTGTAAGCCCTGGTATACCAGGCACTTGAAACTCTCATTCATTTTAGCCAGGAGGTGTTTGCCGCTGACCCTTCCCACTGATAATCCTGCAGTGAGCGGTGGAGTCAACTAGAGCAGAATCACTCTGTCCTTCTTCAATTAATGTACTCTAGGTATCACAGCGTAACCCGCTCCAAGGAGATACACTGAGGGCTGCTTAACATCGTTAGAAAGAGTCATACCAGGTGGAACTATATGACACCATCCCTCTGACCAGGTCAGAGCTTGGAGAGCCCATTAACACTCTATCCTCACTTGGATGGTATTGGATGCCCAAATTGTAATTCACCTCAGAATCCCATTAAGAGGAATGGTATATTTCCAGCTGGCTGTGATATCCTTATAATACCTTTCAAGGAACGGGTGATATTGGCTTGAATATGTAGCATGCAGCAAACAATCAAACATTTGTTAAGTGACTGCTATGTGCCCGGCACTGTTCTAAGCACTGGGAATACAAAGAGAGGCAAAAGATTGTCAAGAAGCTCATGATCTAATAGTATGTAAAAGACTATATAAGCTTCAATAAGGGAGTTGATTTTTCAGTTTATAATCTTTTTGTTTGTTTGTTTGAACACAATTTGTCCCCAGAGAATAGATAATGACACTTAACTCCATTCTCACAGCAGAGAGGTAGGGAACTACTACCACAAAATGTTATGTATGTTAACAGATGCAGTAAGAGCATGAGATATTTTTACTTACAAGGAGGGTTCACTTGGGATTTAGCATTTTTTCCTCTAGACATGACTGTAACTTAAAAACAAAAGGTGTCAATAAACTTTTTTTTATAAAGAAAATTGTGATCTGACTTTTAAAAAAAAATCTCATGGAAGGGGAAAAGAATGTTATGATTACAGTGACCTTGTTATTGGTGATACATTATAGGATATACTATCTTTCACTTCTAAACCTAGCAGCTAATCCTGGATGAGAATACAGTATGTTCCCCAAGGAAGTAGCAAAGGCCAGCGATAATAACCAGGTTGTCTCTCATAGGCTAGGACCTCTGTACAAAACGCAAAGCAAATACAGTCATCCATCACAGTTGTAATAGCAATGCAGGAAACCATTAAAAACAGCCTTGAAATATTTTTCTAAGGGCTAGGGCTAGTGGCCTACGGATAGTTTGGGGAGGAGGAGGGCCAGCAGATTAAATGGCAGACTGCTATGGTGCTTACATCTGACCCCTCCTGACTGTGGCCCAAAGCAGCCAGAATTTAAACAGAAGATGGTTCTAATGAGCAAAGCTGCCTTTTCAAGTCCTGCCGTCTTCCCTACCCTTCCCCCCTAACCCCCAAAGGACTTCTGTATCACAGTGCTTCTTACCAAGAGCTCTCATAACACCCCTCCCCCACTGGTATGTGACCCAGAGCAACTGCACCCACTTATCCGAAAATAAAGCCAGCCCTGACATCCAATCGGTCTTTACATTCCTGCAGTGACTTTCTTTACAATTAAATCCCACTTAATATATGATAAAATTGTCATGTTTTCCTCCCCGTGGGTCCCCTTACATATTTCACTCTCATTTTGAGAAGCCTTTTTTAAATGCTTATCTTACATAATTTCCCCCTCTCTCCTTTTTCTTTATCTACTTAGGAACAGCAAACACATTGAAAACAGGCTTTTCTAAATTGAATGTACCTTGTCATTTTCAAGGTACAGAACAAATAGACACTGACTTGGGGAAAGGGAGAACTTGTCAGCACTCGATCATTTTTCTTCCTTTAATGCCTTTTTTTCTTTTTGTGAGGCAACTAGGGTTAAGTGACTTCTCCAAGGTCATGCAGCAAGTAAGTGTTAGGTGTCTGAGGTTGAATTTGAACTCAGGTCCTCCTGATTCCAGGGCTGGTGCTCTATCTACTGTACCACCTAGCTACCCCCCTTTAATACTTTAACAAAGCAAAACACTGCTGTCCTTTTTCACTATCACTTCCTCTCTCACAGAGTCCTTCCTCTTAACAAAAAGTTAAAACCAACCAACACTGACGTGTCAGATACCTTATTTCACACCTCTGGTTCAGAGCTTCTCTTCCAAGACAAGAAAGGCATGTTTCCTCCTCAGTCCTCTGGGGTCAAGATTGGTGATTTTGTTGATCTGAGTTCATGTGGGCATAAGGAGGAAGGGAGCAAATAAACGTTTATTAAGTCCCTACTATGTGCTAGGCACTTTACTAAGCATTTTACAAATATTATCTCATTTGATAATTTGTACTTTAGTGTTGTTTTCCTTGACCTGATTGTGGTCTTTGTGAATATTATTTTCTTGGTACTGCTAATTTTATTTTGTCTCAGTTCATACCAATCTTCCCAAGTTTCCCTGAAATCTTCATATTTATCATTATCATTTATCATTATTACAATAATGCTACATTATATTCATATGCCCCAATTTTTTTAATCTATAACCTCAGGCATTGAGTACTTGCTTATTTCCAGTTTCTTGCTACTACAAACAATACTGCTATAAATATTTTTGCATATGTGGAAACTTTCCCTCTTGGTCTTTTATCTTCTTGGGAAAAATGACTACTATTGGTATCACTGAGTCAAAGGGCATGACTAGTTTAATTGCTTTTCTCACATAACTTCAAATTGTTTTCCAAAATGGTCAGACCAATTCAAAGCTTCATCAATAGCCTCTTAGTATGTCTGTCCTTGCACAACCTCTCCAGCACTTTTTATTGATTATTTCCATGTTTTATAATCTTTGCCAATTTGGAGGGCATAAGGTGAAACTTCAGAGTTGTTTCAATTTTAATTGCTTTTATTAGTGATGTGGAACTTTTTTAAAAAATAGAATTGCTGGCTATGTACTTTTTTTTCTGAAAAAAATGTTTATATCTTTTGACCTTTTGGGGAATAGCTCTTGGTGTTTTCTATCAATTCCTAATATGCCATGCACATCATATATATTTGAAGTGAATAATGTTTTCCTGAACTGACAATTTTTCTTATTCTAGTTACACTGATTTTGTTGATGGAAAAAGTTTCCAGTTTCCTATTGTCAAAATTGTTTATTTTCTCTTGTGAATTTTGCCCCAGGCCATAGATCTGAAAGGTACTTTTCTTTTCTCATTCTCCTCTGGTTCTATGTTTTTTTTTTATGATAATAGCTTTTTTTACATTACGGTCACCTCTATTTAAACCTTATTTTGCTCCAAAATTTTGCTGTCCTCTAAATTTAATTTTTGCCAACACTTTCCTGTCTTCCCTTAATTCTCAGGTAGGAGTTCTTTCTCCAGTGGTTTGAGTTCGTGGACTTACTGGAAGCTGGGTTACTACTGTATCCTATAGCTTTGCAGTCTTGCTTTTCTAATCTATTCCATTGTTCTGATTTTCTGGGTTGTTTTTGTTTTTAACCACTACCATATAATTTTGATGATTGTTGCTTTATTATATAGTTTGAAATCCAGTAATGGTAGGCTTTCTTAATTTATGTATATTTTTATTTCCCTTGAGAAGGTTGTTTTCATTCTGTCAAGTTACATAAAGTCTAATTAGGTGGCACAATGGATAGAGACTGGAATCAAGAAGACCTGTGTTCAAATCCATTCCCAAGTACCTACTAGCTGTGTGATTCTGGGCACTTAACCTCTGTTTGCCTCAGTTTCCTCAACTATAAGATGACGGGTAATAATAGTACCTCCCTCCCAGGGCTGGCTAAGGATCAATGAGTTAATATTTGTAAAGCACTTAGCACTATGCTTGACACATAGTAGGTGTTTAGAGAATACTTATTCCCTTCCCCCAGGTAATTTGATTGGTATAACATTAAGTTTATAAATTAATTTAGGTAGTATCATAATTTTTATCATAGCCCAACCATGAAAAATTAATATCTCACCAATTCTTTGTCTTCCTTTGTTTCTGTAAGGAATGTTTTGTAATTTAATGTTCCAAAATGATCCATTTCTCACCTTGTGTTTTAGTGAAAAATCAGAGAGAATGTGAGCAAGTAAGATCATTTCAATTTTATGGATGGACAAGATGAGAATGAGATCAAAGAACCTACTGGAGGGCTGAATGTCCCATAACTTTATTTTTGCTGGTGAGAAGGAAGAAAAACCACTTGGTAGAGATGCTCTCTTGGATATATTGTGTCCGGTGGGTGGTCCTGTATTGGAAGCCCACACCCTCCTCTCAAGTAGCTTACAACATGCTACTAACAGTACAGTACTTTCTACTACATTCTGAGCCAAATAGATTTTTGTGGACTGGCCTTGTGGGGGACAAACTACCATTTATTACATTGTTCCTATAGGAAAATCACTGGCTGCATAAGAAGCAAACCCAATACCATAAGGCATGTGTCCCCTTTCCAGGCATGGTTGTGACTACCTGGTGTGTAGTAAGGAGGTAACAAAACATGAGGGACACTTCTCAGTCTATGGGGATAAGGGAAGCCCATTTCCACACATGGCGTAACTACAGCTATTTGACATTCATTATTTGGGTGTTTGTAAATCAGCACATACTTATTTTATAAGATAACAAAATCCTTAGGTGTGAAGAAAGATTTTCTCATTCATTTTCTTAAGGTGAGAACCCTGGTCCAAATGAAGGCCAAAAGGAATTCGGAATTCCTGAGTCTCTGTGGAAATGCTAGAATTCTCTGTTGTCATGATTGCTTCTCAGGAAAGGGGAGGTGAAAGACTGTCATCAGTGGGAGTTTGTTTTATGAAGTATTCCAGGAAACATTGATGTAGGCTCTTAGGAAACTCAAGTTTGAGCGATGGCAGGTGGTGTTATTTTGGAGAAGAAATTAGGCATTAATAAGGATGGCTACACTATAAACCAGATGTGCACATCTTATCCTCGATGTTGAAAAGGAACTGGAAGAATGCCAGCACAATGCATGTGCACATCTTGGGATCTCTAAGAAACACAGAACTGTATCCCAAGAGGCCCATTAAGGGAGGGTAGAGTTTGTAAGCCATCAAGCTCTTAACAAGAAGTGAAAAAACTTGTGCAAACTTCAACTATCCACCTCCCTGTAGCTCCTTTCTGACAACAGGATTGGAGAGCAAATGTTCCAGCACAAGATGGAGTTTAACATGAGTGATGTAAAAAAAAAAAGTTTCCCCAGAAAGGCATTAAAACCATCAGCTGGAATGAGCATTATTAAACTTAGTACCTGCATAGCTGGAGTTAGGCTATGGGGGAGGGGGTGGGAAAGGTCCTAGAAAGAGGGTCTTTCGGAGAGGAGGAGAAGTTGACAAATAACACTTTGAGGCTTGCAAAATACCTTATTTAATTATCTCATTTAGTCCTCACGACAAACTTGAGATGTAGATACTATCATTATCACCCATTTTATGGATGAGGAAACTGAGTCTGAAAGAAGTTAAGTGACTTGCTCATGGCCTCACAGCTAGTAAGTATTTGAGGCAGGGTTTGTACCAGCTCTTCTGGATTCCAAGTCCAGCAAGCCACACCAAATGGACAACTCCCATCTATAACAGTCTCAGCATAAGAAATCAGAAGCCAGGAACTTTGCAGCTCTAATGGATGAATAAATAAAATAATGTTATTAAATACATCACCTGCTCTATCAGTAAAGAATCATTTGTTTTAAGAATCTCCTTCATTTTGAGGAAAAGATTAAGAACTTTATTTTTTAAAGTGTTTTATTGATTACTTTTGTCTTTAAATCACATTCACTGCTAGAGTTAAAAAAAAAAATCTCCTCTTCCAGAATAAACCCTCCCTAGTGACAAAGAAAAACAATTAAGCAAAACAGCCAGTTTTATTCCTTTTCAACATCAAGGATAAGATGCATACACCTGGTTTACAGTATAGCCATGTTCATTAATGCCTTATTAATGACCAAATCAGATAATTTCTATATCTGACAACATATACAACATTCTTTCCAGTAGTCCCCCTGTCTCTCTGCTCTGAGAAGGGAGATATACCTCCTTTCATTTACCTTCTTTCATTATCTGTTAAATGAGACCTTCAATGGCTTTTCAATTATTCATAATCCAGCTTCTTTGTAGTAACTTTCCATTTACATTATTGTAGTCATCAGATATATTGTCTTCTTGGTTCTGTTTATTTCACTATATATCAATGGCAGTTGATAAAGAGTCAGCTGAGGAGCCCAGTAGATAAAATGCTAGTCCTGGAGTCAGTAAGACCTGCCTGAGCTCTGACACTTACTAGCTGGTGACCTTGGGCAAGTCACTTAACTTTTACTTGCCTCAGTTTCCTCATATATAAAATGGGGATAAGAATAGTACCTACTTACCATGATTGGCATGAGGATAAAATGAGTTAATATTTATAAAGCACTTTGCAAACCTTAAAGTACTATACAAATGCTAATTATCGTTATCAGTTCCAACACATTTCCCCATATTTCTCCAAATTCTACATTTGTCTTATTATATAGTAACATTCCATTATGTTCATATATTCCAATTTTTCAAAGACATTCCCTCATTGATGGGCATACACTTTATTTCCAGCCCTTTGTTACCACAAATAGTACTTTTATCAATCTTTTGGTACGTGTTGGGCCTTTGTTTCTCTCTTTAGCTTCTTTTGGAGTATATGCCCAATGGTGGTATTGCTTGGCCAAAGGATATAGATAATTAAATAATGTTTTCCTGCATAATTATAAACTGACACTGAGAACAGTTGGACCCACTCACAGTCTATTGGTGTGCCTACCTTCCCACAGCTCCTCCAACATTGACTATTCCCAGGTTTTGTTATATTTGTCGATTTACAGACTGAGATGAAACTTCAGGGTTGTTTGGATTTGTATTTCTCTTACTATTAGTCATTTGGAGCACGTTTTCATGTGCTCACTTAGAGTTTGCAATCCTTTTGAAAACAGTCTGTTCATAGCATTTGATGACTTAGTTATTGGGGTTATAGAGACTGGAGTTGGGCTTTCATCGATACTGGTGAGGAATATCTGCTACCAATGCAGCATGACACCTTCTAGTCTAAGAGAGTTACCAAGAACACTGAGAAGTAAAATAACCTGCCCAGGGTCTCACAGCAAGTTTCTCCTTTGCTTTCAAAGAGGACCAATGACAACACAGGGTGACATCTTGACTTGTGCGTG